TGTATCTATCATGTTGACTCCAAAAATATTGATATTACTTCATCTCTTGACCCTTCTGTTTTACACACACACATACACACACACCACACACACACACACACACACACACACACACACACACACACACACACACACACACCCTGTTTAGATTTAGTCAGTTGTCTTAATAATGCCCTCTAGAGATGTTTCAGGTTAGGTTTCCTAGAGGAAAAAACCTATAGAATTAATGCATATTATAGTGGAATTTATTGCATTGGCTTACATGATAGTGGCTGTCTGCTCGCTGGGGAGGCAGCAGTTCAGTCCAGAGAGCTGGGATGTCTCAGCATTCTATCCTGTGCTGAAGGTATGGAAAGTTTCTGCTGTTCAGCCCAGCTGGGAAAGCTGAAGCAGCTAGGATCTGATGTCTGTAGAGAAGGCTGTGTTAGGGTAGATGCATGTATGCCCAAGAAGCAGCAACAACAGACAGCACACACTGCTTCGTCCTTAGACCCTTTGTGTCAGGGCCACCTGTAGGGTGGATCCTTCCCTCATCAGGTCAGCCTCTCTAGAAGTACCTCACAGGCACACTAGTGGTATGTCCCTTTGGTGATTCTAAACACTGTTGACAGTGAAGCCTAACCACAGTAGCAAAAAGTCTAGACTACATACCCTCTGTGAGTTTCAGAGGAGTGTCTTATCTTTTAGCGCCTTTGACTTAGAGCAGTGTTGCCTAGGCTCTCTTTGTCTTCTGTGACTTTTCCCTGTTGGCTTGATTTAGAGCCGTTCTGTGCACTGTGTTGCAGTTTGGATGTTTGCGGTGCCACCTCATGACTGGATGTGGTCTTCATTTTTGTTAGAAGTGTTGCATGACATTGACATTGATTTTTTTCCCCTCCATTGCTGGTGATTTCACCTTGGTCTGTTGGTTAAGGTGGCATTTGCCAAGATTTCCATTGTGGAATTATATGTTCCTTTGCAATTACTAAGTATCTTTTAAGGTAAGGCTTCAAGGCTGTGTGTTCTATTTCCCATTGATTTCTCCCATCATTTTTACCATCCGGCAGTGCTTTTTGTTTGTTTGAGACAAATTGTCCCTGTGTAGCTCAGATAGGTAGGGCTTGCTAACTTGCCTGAGTAGCTGAGGTTGGCCTTGAAGTCCTAATTTTCCTGCCTCTGCCTCCCAAGTGCTGAAAAGACAGGAGTGAGCCCCAATTTTGGGCCTCTTCCAGCACTGTGAAGGCAGTAGTGTGCTGATTTTCTCATGTTTGTTATTTCTCAGTTCTGTGTTCTCTGAGAGTTAATGAATCATTATCTTTTCCGACTGCTTTTAGGATTATTTTTTCTATTTTATTAATTATTTAGTAAGTGTGTGTGTGTGTGTGTGTGTGTGTGTTCACACATGAGTGCAGGTACCCAAGCCATCCAGAAGAGGGCATCAGATCCCCTGGAGTCACACTCTTACCTGTTGAACCTTCTCTCCACTCCCATTTTTCTGGGTTTCTTTGAGATAAAGTTTTCATGGAGTCTTGGAATATCTACGAGATTAGCAGTCTTATTTTTAAGTATTGGTCTGAGTTCCTTTTATTCTCTTGCCTTTCTGGAACTGCAGCTATGTTTATAGTAGACCTTTTCCAAATTCCCATTTTGTATGCTGTGCTCCACGCTGCCCATCCCCTGGCATTCTCTTTACGGACCCATCTTCAGTTCACTGATTGCCCTGCTATGTTCAGGCTGCTGTGAAACTCATCAGTTACTGAGTTATAGGGTTTGTATTTGGTTCCTTTAAGAATCTAGTTTTCTAGTAAACGTCTTTGTTTTACCACTTCCTTCTTGATTGCTCTCACTATATAGCCCAGGCTGGCTTGGAATGCAGGCTCTTCCTGCCTTAGCCTTGGGAATGCTGGGATTACAGGCATGCACTGCTCCACCTGGCTTCTCTTAATTGGTTCTTAAAGTCTTTTTAAAAGTGTTTTGTTGGGGACTGGAAAGATGGCTCAGTGGTGAAGAGCATGTCCAGGGGACCCAAGTTTGATTCCCAGCACTCATCTCAAGCAGCTCACAGCCACCTCTAACTCCGGCTCCAGGGGCAACCCCCACTTGTGGCCTCTGCAGGAAAAATGCACTCACATGTACACGCCTCCATGTACGACATACATAACCATAATAATAAATGTAGATTTTAAAAAGCAAGAGTCATAACTGCAGTATAAGGGATTGTTTGGGGGAAATTTTAAAAATAAAATGATGTTTTCTTTCATGAATTTATTTATTATATGTGTGCATGCATGTGTGAACATATTATTACATGTGTGCATGCATGTGTGAACATGTTGGTGGGAGGGAGCTCTCTGCAATTCTCCCCTTCCACCAGGTGGGTCCTGAGATTCAACTCAGTAGTTGTTTTCTTCCTTCCTTCCTTCCTTCCTTCCTTCCTTCCTTCCTTCCTTCCTTCCTTCCTTTCTTTCTTTCTTTCTTTCTTTCTTTCTTTCTTTCTTTCTTTCTTTCTTTCTTCTCTCTCTACTCTTTGGGGTCTTGCCACCCAGCTCCCAAATAAATACATATGAATGCCCAGCCTTCATTTGTCTTGTTTCTAGCCAGCTTTTCCTAGCTGAAATTATCCTGTCTACCTTTTGCCTCTGGGCTTTTCCTTTCTCCAATTTATGCACCTTTTTTCCTCTTACTCTGTGACTGGTTGTGTGACTGGATGGCTGGCCGCTGGTGTCCTCTCTCCTCCCCATCACTGTTGTTTTTCTTCCTTCTCTCCTAATATTTATTCTCTCTGAATATCAGCCCTGTCTGTACTCTCTCCTGCCTAGCTATTGGCCATTCAACTCTTTATTACACAATCAGGTGTTTTAGGCAGGCAAAGTAACACAGCTTCACAGAGTTAAACAAATGCAACATCAAAGAATGCAATGCATCTTTGCATCATTAGACAAACATTTCATAGCATAAACAAATGTAACACATCTTCAGCCAATATTCCACAGCACAACTCAGATCTTCAGGCTTGATAGCAAGCACCTTTACCCGCCGAACCATCTCACCAGCCCCTTGAAGTATTTGATAGTTTTAACTGGCTTATCAGCCGGGTGGTGGTGGTGTACACCTTTAATCTCAGGTGTGGGAGGCAGAGACTGTCAGAGCTCCATGAGTTCAAGGCCAGCCTGGTCCACATCATAAATTCCAGGGCAGCCAGAGCAACATAGTGAGTCTCTGTCTTGGGAAAGACAAAACAAGTAATAAAATAAAACACCTGGCTTATCTTTAAGTTTGTTTTCTTACCCTTTCTCCCCTTTGTGGTTTATTCCTTTGTATATTTTGTGATTTTTTAATTTGATTACAGAGACTGGTATAAATAATTGAGCAGCTAGCTGACAACAGTTTCCTCTAAAGTTCATGCTATTATTGTATGTGTTTATGTGTGTCTGAAGTCTGTATGTATGTGGATGTAACAGCACATGTGTGGCAATCAGAGAACAACTTCCAAGAATCTCTTCTCTCCTTCCAGTGAGTCCCAGGGATTGAACTCAGGTTGTCAGATTTGTACAGCATGTGTTCTTACCCACAGAACCATCCTACCAGTCAAGTTTTGAGCCAGGCATGGTGGCACAAGCCTTTAATTCCGGCACTCGGGAGGCAGAGGCAGGAGGATCTCTGTGAGTTCAAGGCCAACCTGGTCTACAGAGTGAGTTCCAGGACTGCCAACTGCCAGAACTATACAGTGTCAAAACAAAAACAAAACAAAGTTTTGAAATACTTAATACTTGCATGTTATTATAGAACAATCTCTCTCTGTCTGTCTCTCTGTGTCTCTGTCTCTGTCTCTGTCTCTCTCTGTCTCTCTGTCTCTCTGTCTCTCTGTCTCTCTCTCTCTCTCTCTGTCTCTCTCTCTCTCTCTGTCTCTCTCTCTCTCTCTCTCTCTCTCTCTCTCTCTCTCTCTCTCTCTCTCTCTCTCTCTCTCTCTCTCTCTCTCTCTCTCTCTCTCCTTCCCTCCCTCCCTCCCTCTCCTGAAGCAGGGTTTCCTATGCTCCATGCTGAACTGCCTCTTCTGTCTTTTTTTCCAAGTGCCGAGATCACAGGTGGTCACCACTATGCTTGTTCATGGTGCATTGTCTTACAGACATGACCCAATACTCACCAGGAAACTTGTTCTGTGTATATCTTGAACATATCACCTGGAAGTTATTGTTTTGTACAGGGTGTTTAGGTCCCTGTGTTCTGAGCACTGGGCCTTACAGGAGCTGGCTGTAGCGTTCAGATGAGAGGTAGTCACCCAGTCTGCCTGTGTCTCTCACTCATTCACCTCAAGACAGTCAGAGTGCTGCCTCTGAGCACCCGAGGGTCTGCTCACCTTTCTGCACAGCCTTTCTCCTGGGTTCTTGGTTAGTCAAGCCTTGGTGGCTCCCTGGTGACTTACAATAGTTTTGTTTTGCAGTTGTTCTCAGCAGTATCGCTGAACCTAAAAAGATACCCCATCTTAGATGGGGAATCCCGTCAATGAGTCGGGATTTTTATTTTTTGTTTTTTTTTGTTTTTTTTTGCCTTCTAAGTGCTGGGGTTAGAGGCATGGTCTCAAGGTCATTTTGTTTTGAATTTCTCTTTTGAGATAAACACCTTTGGGGGGTTTTGTTTTGGTTGTTCTTCCTTTTCTTTTTGGGATAGGGTCTTTCTTACCTTACATAGAGTTTGGGTTAGCTTGGAACTTACTGCTGTAGTCCAGGCTAGACTTGAACATGACATCTCCTTGCCTCTGCTTCCCAAGTGTTGGGGTTGTGTGAGTTAGCTAGCATGCTGGCATTTTGTTTGTTGAGACAGAGTCTCCCTATAGCCCAGCTGCCTCTGCCTCACTGGCACTGGCATTACAGGCATGCCCCACCAGAGCTGATGCAAGCCATTTTGTATTTCCTCTTTTTTGCTTTTTGGCTTTTTGTGTATACCCCCTTTTTTTCTCTCTTTTTTATTAATTTATTTTTTACATTCCAGTCCCAGTTTCCCCTCCCTCTTTTTCTCTCCTAAAAAATATTGAACACTTCACGAATTTGGGTGTCATCCTCGTGCAGGGGTCATGCTAATTTTCTCTATATCATTCCAATTTTAGTATATGTGTTGAAGCACACACACACACACACACACACACACACACACACACACACACACACACACACACACACACACCCCGCCTTGTTTTTAAAGATAGGGTGTCACTATGTAGATCCAGCTGGCCGTTGTAACCCAGGCTGGCCTGAAACCTGTAATCTACCTGCATCAGCCTTCTGAGTGTGAGGATTGTAGGTAGGTGTGTACTACCACACGCCCAACTTTTTCTGTAACTTTTCATGGGACGATAATTATTATTTTGAAATTGATTTGTAATTTTTAATGCTGAGGAAGTTGACTCTGTCTGGGATGCGAGTTAGAGGCTTTCAGTTTCAGGTTTTTTTGTTTTGTTTTGTTTTTTGAGACAGGGTTTCTCTGTATTGTTTTGGAGGCTGCCCTGGAACTAGCTCTGTAGACCGGGCTGGTCTGGAACTCACAGAGATCCTCCTGCCTCTGCCTCCCTAGTGCTGGGATTAAAGGCGTGCGCCACCAACGCCTGGCCAGTTTCAGATTTATATCAGCTATTTTTACAGTGCTTTTGTCAGGCAGAACTTCTTATTTGACATTAAAAGATTTCTGTTGACATTTAAAAACTGTCAGTATTAGTGTGTGTGTGTGTGTGTGAATACACATACAACATTACACTTAATAAAGGTCAGTGAGCAACTTTGTGGAGTCAGTTCTTTATCTCCAGTTTACGTGGGTTCCAGGGACTGAACTGGCGTGGCCAGGCTCGCACGGCCAGCTCTTCACCTGCCGAGCCAGCCTGCCTGGCTCCTCTTCTCACAGTTCCTTTGTGATTTGAGTTTTGTTCCATAGACTTCAGTAACTCAAAGTTTATTTTGGTTAATGGAGTTCAAAGATCCAACCTTGTTTGTTTATCTATTATTTTAGTTAATAAAGTGTGGTATCAATTACGGCTGAGGTAAGAAATTTCTTGTAAAGAGCCAGACAGTGTGCGTTGGGCTTTGGGGGCCTGTGTCCACGGCGGAGCCATCGGTACCACTCAGACAGTAAGAGACTGGAGAGAGAGAAAGCAGTGTTTATGGACACTGGCATTTGGATTTTAAACGCTTTTCACATGTCACAGAATGATCTTGCTTTCCTCACCTCTGTTTAAAAACTGTAAAAGCTGTTCTTAGCTGGAAGACCATCCCAAAATAGACAAAAGGCTGGGCATGGTAGTGCATGCCTTTAATCCCAGCAGAAGCAGGCAGCTCTGACGTGGCTTCAAAGAGCTCCAGGTTAGACTCTGCCAAAAACAAAACAAAATCCAACAAATTAAAATGAACAACAGGCTGAGTTTGGCTGCTGCGTGTTTTTCTCCACTGACTTTCGCTAAAACTTCATCATGTGCTAGCTGTCTGTAGTGTCCTGAGCTACTCTGTCCCCTCAGTGTGCCTGTTCAATGTCACATTCCCTTTCTTAGATGTGCATTGTGTTAGAATTAAGCCACCCTGTCATCTTTTCAGTTATGCAGAATTCATTTAGTGCTTCATGTTTATTACTTTACATATAATTTATAAAATTAGCTTGCCCAGCTAAAAGGAAAATATGGAATGTTGATATTTCAAACATTGGAGTCACATTAACCTTGCAATTAACTTAGGACAGATGACATGTTTATAATACTAACACTTCTTATAGGAGGAAAAAGCTATTTATTTCCACTTCACTTTTTAGTTCCCTCCATATCTTTATGAACATCTGGAACGTTTGCGTATCCCTTATTTCTTTAACGTTTGTGGGCTGAGCTCGCGCCTCAGCACTGCTGGCGGGTTGGCCATACCCACCCATGCGCACCCCTGTGCACCCTGGAGACTTTGCTCCTGTTGCTCCTCTTCTCTGGTCACATCAGTCCCAAGCCAGCGCCACATGAATAAGACGCATGCGCCTCAGAACACTTGTCCTGCCCTTGTCTTTAGACAGTGCGCACCTACGTCTCTCTCCATAAACCACCACGCCAGCTTCAGAGAGTGACACTGGTCCATCTGCTCACGCCCAGTCACATCAAGGAAGTACTCACGTTGTTCATTTTATTAAGAGTTTTCATTAAGAGTGGATATCGAATTATATCAAATGCCCTTCACTTGCGGAAATAATCATATCATTGTTGTCTTTTAATCTCTTAATATAATAAAATATTATAATAGGCAGTAGTGAATCATCATTGTATTATTAGCATGGATTCTAGTCAATCATGGTTTTAATGTACTAGATCTCTGTGCTGTTGCTTTGTGTATTTAGCAGAACTGTTTCTAAGTCTGGCTTTCTTTTGTGTTTGTCTCTCAGCCGTCATAGTGTTGAGACTGTTTGGAAACATTGGAGTAGGACATGGAACTCCAGTTCATCAAAATGAGAGGCATTAAATACTGAACACTGCTAATAGTATGAATTTCAAATTCAAGCATTAAAAAGATAGGACAATATTCCTAGTTTAGTTAACTCATGAATCCTACATATAATAAGCATTTCCCCATGAATCATGTAGTACATGAAACTTGTACTTTTCCTAGTGTGTACTGGGCTCTGATGGGGAGTTGGGGTTGCTTAGCTGTGTTCTCATCACTAATTGGACCTCGTGCTCTGTTCTGCCGTGTTCTCCTGACACCATAAAGATGTCTCAGAGCCACTGGTTTCTTGGTGCCAGCCTGCTTTCTAGAGCTGTGGTGTCACAGTGCCCCGCCCTCTCCGTCTGCAGGTGCCCTTAGCCCCTCTGAGCTCCACTCCCCGTTTCCTGGCTTCCACGTGCTCCTCTCTGGCTCTCGTCTTCAGGTTGGTGGAAGGAACCCTTCAGTAACTTCCTGAGAAGGTGTATGGGAGGCAGACCTAGAAAATGAGTCTACTTTCATTTCCATCTTTGCTTGACTGGGCTTTAAATTCTAGATTGGGAAACTTTTTTTAAAAAGAGATTTGAAGGGACAAACCATAGTCTCAGCAGCCAATTCTGCTGTCTGCTGTTGAAATGCCCAAGGCCACTTTGACTCAGGTCCCTTCCTATGTGAACTGTTTATTTCTCCCAAGCCCTTATTTATTTATTTTAATCTCTAGCTGAGTCCTGTGATTTTATAATAATGTGCCTCAGGGTTTTCGTCTGCCATTCTTTGTGTTTACAGTGCTGGGCCCCTGTGGGCCCTTCATTCAGACAGTTATCATTCCTCGGTTTTGTGGTGTGGCCTTAAATGATTTCTTTGGTAGCATTCTCTCCTTTATGCTCTGTGTTCTGTTTTCCTAGATCCCTCCCCCCCCCCCCAGATGGATGAGAGATGTCTTGGGCTACTCCTTTCTTATTTTCCATCTTTTCAGTCCTACTTTATACATTTCTCCCAACCGTTTATCTTTTTTGTTTGTTTGTTTTGTTCTGTTGAGACAGGGTTTGTCTTTGTAGTCCTGACTGTCTTGGAACTTGGTCTGTAGATCAGACTTGTCTTAAACTCACAGAGATCCACCTGCCTCTGACTCCCATGTGCTGGGACTAAAGGTGTGTGCCCCCACATCCAGCTTTCCTTTTATTCTCTGAGCATGCGTCTTAGTCACTGTTTTATTGCTGTGAGGAGGCACCGTGACCATGGCAACTCTTAAAGGAAACCATTGAATTGGGCTGGTTTACAGTTCCAGAGGCATAGTCCATTATCACCATGTGGGCAGCGCGGCAGCGCACGTGCAGCTGCTAGGGCAGTAGCTGAGAGCTGCACCCTGATTCTTAGGAGGGAGGGAGGGACAGAGACAGAGACAGAGACAGAGACAGAGACTCTGGGCCTGGCATGGGCTTTTGAAACTTCGAACCCACCCCCAGTGACACACCTCCTCCAACAAGGCCATACCTCCTAATCCTTCCAATCCTTTCAAAAAATACACTCCCTGGTGACCAGGCATTCAAATCTAAGAGCCTGTGGGGCCATTCTCACTCAAACCTCCACAGCATGTGGTTTTGAAATTCTCTATTTCTCTGATGCTCTTTGTTTCTTCGGGTTCTTTTTATTGTGTTTAGGGGATGGCTGTTGTTGTTTGAGGTGAAGTATTTTGTTTTTTCATTTTTTAAAGTTTCTGTTAAATGTCTGATGATCTTTGGCTGTCTATTACTTAAGATGGAAGCCTTGTGTCAAATGTGATGGCATATTTCTATAATCCCAGCACTTGGAACACAGTGGCAGGATGACCACAAGTTCAAGGTCATCCTTGACTAGTGAGTTTGAGGCTCAATAAAGCAAGCAAGCAAGGAAGGAACAGGCTGACAGACTGAGCTTATTAAACTGCTTGCTAGAGTCCATAAGGGCAAAATTATAGCAGTTTGGTTCACTGGTTCCCCTCCTACCACAGTGCGTGGTTTGGTAAGGTCTCTGTGACACAGAGATGGAGACTAAGTTAGTAGCACTTAGTGTTCCGGCATCTGACATAGTCCTGAATAATCCCCCCGTGAAAATAATGAGCCTCGAGCCCTACCTTTCAGCATACTCCAAATAAGGGAGGTAAGTTTGCAGAACTTGTAGAAAAACACAGGGGACTATGCCTATGACATGGAGGTGTACAAAGACTTCTTAATTAGCTCAGTAAAAAACCCACTATCATAAAAGAAAAGGTGTCATCTCAAATACACTTATTCATGGAAAAGTAGCACTAAGAAAGCAAAGGGAGAAGCCATATGCTGGACTAAGATGTTTATCCTCCATAGGGCTTGCTTCCAGAGTCCTTGGAGAACTATCATAACTGGCAAAGTCCTGTAGCTCCATTTCAAATGTATGCAAAGACTTGGACAGGTACCATGGTAAAGAACATTTCCAAATGCTTAGTGAGCTTATAAAAAGATGCCCAACTTCGGTTCCTATGGGGTAATATAGTTAAGACCCAGCAGCTTATCATTACACACTGGTCAGATGCCCTAAATGGAAAAGGCTGAGAATACTAAGTGTTGGCAAGAACGTGGGGCAGCTGTAACCCTCACGTGTTGCTGAGGGTGAAGCTGTTTGGAAACCTGGCACTTTCTGCCAGTTAAATGCTTGTTCTGTGTCTTAGCAGTTGT